CGGGTCAGCTAATCTTGGGGTACATCCACTTTGTAGTCGATCCCCTGCTCGAGCCATAACTATATGCTGGTCAGGGGTCGACATGTTGTTGGGTGCACACAACGCTGCGCAACCTGTACGACATAGCCTGGCAATTGCGGGGGAAGAGGCGCGGACGTACGAGCTTGGCGGAACCCCCGTCAACAGACATGAATCCGCCGATGCCCCGCTTGCCGGGGACGAAACGGCGTGAGAGATGACTGGCTGTCACCTCGCCCTCCCCTGGAAACCAAAATCTTATGAGCGCGGGAGGTGGGGGGGAGGAGGAGGAGGAGGAGGAGGAGGAGGAGGAGGAGGAGGAGGAGGAGGAGGAGGAGGAGGAGGAGGAGGAGGAGGAGGAGGAGGAGTAGGAAGAAGGAGGAAGAGGAGGAGGAAGGAGGAGGAAGAAGGAAAGAAGGAGGAGGAGGTGGGGTGGGGACACGAGCTCCCCCGCGCGCCTCCGGGGCCCTCGGAGCCTCAAAATATCAGTCCCCGTGGCCGCCCAAGATTGCCCAAGATGTTGCCCAGAATTGCTCCCGACTGGCTTCAGCGCGCCAGAGAGGCCTCAGGAGAACGACCAAGATAGCCTCGAGATGGCCCAAGGCGTCCAGAAAAGGGCCCAAAGAGGAAGGACCAGGCTCCCCAATATGCAGCACTCATTGGTTTTCCCAAGTTTGTCCGCCGACCCTCGCTTGTCGGGGGTGAGAAGGCGCGTGAGATGATCGGCTGTCCCTCCGCCCGTTTCCCCGCCCCCCGGGGTCCAAAATGCCGCTTGAGAGGCGAGGCCGTGGGGGTGCAAGCTCCTAAACGCATCCCCCGAGGGCCCAGGAGCTTCTCCAGAGCCCCAGGACTGTCCTAGAAAGCGTCGATATGGTCAAATGTAGCCCCGCGGCGATCCAAACTGGCCTCGAAGCGGCCCACGACGCGCCCAAAACAGTGCAATACTCCTCCCAGAGGGCCACCAAAAGGGCCCCAATAAGCGACAATTGTCCCATACCGAACGGGAATTGTACATTTTCAGCATGCTCGCCTTTTGCGTCTTCAGAGCATCCAAGACGGCGCAAAGGCTCGCAAGATCGTCCGAAATTCGCCCGAACTCGGCCCAAGAGAGCTCCAAGACTGCCCCAGGGGCTCCCAAGACGGCCCAAGACAGCCCTAATAGAAGCCCACGGCGGCCCCAGGGGCTCCCAAGACGGGTTACACCAAGAGAGGCCCAAGAAGGGAAAAACGAACTGACATTGCGAGTCCTCCCCCCAAGATGACTCCAAAAGCTCCCGAAAGGCCCCGGAGGCGCCCCCTAGATGCACCAGGAGCCCTCCACGAGGTCCCCAAGATGCCCCCCAAAGGCCCTCAGATGCCTCGACAAACGCTCCAAAACGCTACTGATAAGTATTCCCAAACACTTCAACGTGCCTCCAAGAGGCGCCACAGACGCTTTCCTAAAACAAGCACGGGCATCTAAGAAACCGCCGTCCCACAGACCACAAGTGGTGGCGGCATATCCCCTCACCTGCAGTATTGCCACATGTTTCTACCATTCTGGTCGCTTTTTGTCTTTTGCGGCTTCCGACCCCGCGCCACGGCTTTTCCAGCGCAAGTTTGTAGAGGGGGGGAAAGGGAAGGGAAGGGAAGGGAACTCGCGAAGCACCAACCAACGTCCACCACGCGATGTCTCCAGTCTGGAGGCTGAACACCGAACTCACGCAACTGCACGCTACCCGCCGGTCCCGAAACAAGAACCCTGGACTGGGGCAACGAAGCAGGTGCATTTCGCGGAATCGGTGCACAAACATCCCGCTGTTCTAGGACCAGCATCCGAAGGGGGAGGAGGAAGAGAAGAAGGAGAAGGAGGAGGAGGAGGAGGAGGAGGAGCAGGAGCAGGAGGAGGAATCACGCACCCAGCGAATTCACGCCAGCGGCAAAGACAATGAACCTTGGAGCATGGAGGCAGCTCGCATCGCCATACATTGAAAACCAATCGAGCTCGAATGCAAGCGGGGCGGGAAGGAGGGAGTGGAGGAGGGGCAGCAGCCAGACAAGTCAGTGAAGGCTCTAGACCCTTCCAGCTCGGATGATCTACGAATCAAGCGAGCTGAACTATAGAGTGCGTGCAGGAAAGTCCCATCGGCGTGAGACTGGCAAGGCGAAGAGTTGCATCCCAATCGCAACTGATAGACTGAGTGGTGGATGAGGCTGTCCACACGGACGTGACGCGTGGAGGCGGCGCGCCGGCGAAGGCAGCGCGGGCTAGCAACGGCTCCCTGGAGCGGCACGTCAGTGGCCCACCCCCGCGTGCAGCCGGCGCGAGCGCCAATTCTTCGCACAGGAGCGGCCACCCCGGAGCACTCTGTGCCACGTCCCCGGGAGAGGAGGAGGCGGGAAGGAGACACGGAGGACGGAGGAAGGGAGAGGTGGAGGGCGACTGCACGCTCTACTCGGGCGCTCGGGGCCTCCACAGCCGCGGTCAAACCAGCCAGCGCAGACCAACAAATCGGCACCACGATTCGGAGGGAGGGGGACGAGGCACGAGGCGGAGGAGGAGGCGGAGGCGGAGGCGGAGGAGGAGGCGGAGGACGGGAGGAGAGGAGGGTGACTGCACGCTCAAATCGAGGGCACTGGGCCTCCACAGCCGCGGATGGGCCTGCTGGCTCGGAGCCACCGAGCGGCACCACGGTTCGGAGGGAGGGGACGAAGCGGAGGGAGCAGGCGGAGGGAGATGGGCGAAGCGGAGGCGGAGGCTCAAAAGATGTCTCACGCCAGCTGAGACCAGCCCGACGCGCCGTGTAGTCTCCCTCCTCATGTTCACTCCGCTGTCGTCGCAAGCTCCCACTCCTTCTGGTGGTCGACAGAATGGCGTGAGCCGCTTGAGTAACTTTGAAGTGATTTTCGCGAGATCGCCTTGGCCGCTACCTGCAAGCCTAAGGCGGCGCGAGAGGCCTCCCAGACTGGCCCAAGACAGCCCAAGAGGCCCCCAAGCAGGCCCGGAGACGGCCGCAGAGGGCCCCACAACGGCCCAGCAAGCTCCCAAGACGGCAAGCCACCCGTCAAGAAGGTCCCGAGAAGGACCCAATAGAGGCAATCCGCATGGACTCCGGGAGCCCCTGCTCACAAGATGGCCTCCAAGACCCCCAACATGCTCCCAAGAGGCCACCATAGGGTCCCAGACACAGCAGCCCCCAGGAGCCTTGAAAAAGCTCCAAGCGGCCGCCCCCTGCACCTCCACAAGGACGAGTCAGCAACAACTACACGCATTCAGCACGAGGGGAAGTGTCCAACACACGCGAAATCGGAAGCCGCAAGTCTCCTCTTCTGGGGGTCGGGGAATGGCGTAAGCCTCTTGAGTAGACTTTCATATGTCCGCGCGATTTTCTTGGGTTGGTGCTGGGCCCCCCCCCCAAACCCAACGAGCGTGGGTGGACCTCCGAGCGTTTACGGTCGGGATCCTTTGCTTAGCGTGTCGCGGCAACGGCCCTGGTGACACGCTATGTCCTGCGAGCGGGTAGCGTGTCGTTCCGCTTCCAGGGGTGGGCGGCTGGGCAAAGCTGGGGACGTGGACGCTTGAACATGGGCGCGTGGGTGGCGCGTCGCGCCGAAACGTGGTGGGCCCAACCTGGCGCAACGACATGCTAAGCAATAGCTCTCGACCGTTTGTTTGTGCAGTGCTGGCGGAACTCTTCCATGCCTGAGCGCTTTCCCCTCCCCCCGCGCGGCCGCTCTCGTCTTCCCCCCCCCCCCCCCCCTCTCGCACGCCAACCAACTCGCCTTTCGGTCGCCAATAGCCGCACGCTGGAGCGGACTGCATCTGCCTCGCTACCGACGGAGAAAGTTTGTGCAGTGCCGGACCCAGACATGCGACGTCCTTATTTTTCACGACGGCGTCCCTGGAAGTCCCGATCCTTTCCCCAGGACCAGTTTTTTGTCCTGAAGCGTCTTTTGACGGTTTCGAGGCCCGGCGAGGGCCCCTGGGGCCGAACATAACCACAAACTGTCCCTCCTGATCGTTTTACGACGCGATCATGTCTTGGGAGGTACCAGCCACACATCTCCAGGTCCCCGTCGGCCACCACGTCGTGGAACTCCGCCGGGGTCTGCGGGAGCTCCCGCAGCGCCGCGCGGTGGATCTTGGCGTGGACCTGCTCCAGCACCCGCTGCACGCCGCCGGGGTCCTGCAGCTCCACCGCCCGCAGCGCCGCCGCGGCGCCGTCCAGGGTCTCGGCCATATCGGCCTCGGAGGCCTCCTGCCAATCCTTGAGGAACAGAGAACTGTACCCAGACATGATCGCGTCGTAACAAAAATCAGGACGGGAAATTTTTGGCTGTTTTCGGCTCTGGTGGGCCCTCGCCTGGCCTCGGGACCGCCAAAAAACTACTCAGGACGAGAAACCGGCCCCAGGGAAAGGGTCGAGACTTCCGCGGACGCCGTACTGACAAACATCAGGATGTCGCATGTCTGGGTATGAGCATGAACTTTCGGAGGTCCGCGCGGAGTTCTTTGATCGGAACGCGCCAGGGGGCCCAGCGCAGAGCTAAGACATCTGCGGGGACCTCCAGAGGTTTACGCTGATGCACTTCTTTCTTCTCCGGAGTCCAGCAAGTTCTGCAGCAGCCTCTGCAACACCTGAACATAGCCGCCCCGACACGCAACACGCAACCCATAGCGTTTTGACACGGAGCTCGACGCGTAGACTGAACACGCAAGTCCGGTACGACACATTCGCCAAAACGTGGGTCAACACGTGCCGAACCAACACGCAGCGTATTAACACGGACGTTTTGAACACGGCAGGCATTTCGTTTCAACACGGGCGTATCAAGGCAGCTAAGCACCTGCAGCATCGCCGCCTCCCCGCGGACCCGCAGCTTTATGTCGGCGCCGCACTCGGCGGCGGCGCGCAGGGCCAAGCGCAGCGGCTCCACGACCGGCGTCTGCAGGTCCCAGGGCCGCGAGCCGCGCATCCGGGCCTCGGTGTGGAAGCCGTCCCAGTACTTGAGCGCGGACCCGGACATGCCCTTCCGCCAAGGAGCAGCCAGCATATCGCATCGGGAACTCGGAGCGCATCGGAGCGTGGGGCCACCTCGGATCGACGGAGCATCGGTCGAAGCGAATCGGATCGGGCCAGCCACAATCGACATCAGAAGAGGAACGAAACGCCATAAACAGAAACTCTTGGCGCTCCGCGCGGATCTCTTGGACCCGCGCTGGACCCCCCTCCCTGGCGCGCGGAGCGCGCTAGGGGCGGCGCTGGAGGCCCCGCCGGGGGGGCCCAGCGCGGATCCAAGAAATTCGCGCGGAGCGCCAAAAGTTAAGTTTGTGGCGTGCTTCGAGACATCGAACCGTCATCGAATCAGACCGAGATGGGCCTCGCCTTCCGCGGGTCCGCGTCGGACCCGATGCGCGCGAGCGCGTCGGTGAGCATGCCCTCGGCGCGCCGCCGGAGGCGCTTGACCTTTGGGAGGAGCGCCAACGAAAGACGAAAACGCCACGAGCCAGACCTTAGGATTCGGTTTAACGTCGGGCATGTGGATGATCCTCATCGCGTGTGTTAGCGCCAACGTGTGTTTGTCCATCGAGGCCCTTCGGTAGGACGCAGGCGATGTAATGCTCTACCAGCTGGGCTAAACGGGACAGACACACATTGGGCTAACACGCGTCCTGATGATCATCGAGCATGCCCCTCTACAGGAGGAATATTCGGAAATTTAGGTCGGGCATGTCCTCCTACAGGCGGATATTGGAAGAACAATGAAACTAGTTGAGAAGATGCAGAATGTGGAAACATAGTCGAACAATTATCCCCAGACTATTTTTTACTATTCTTGAATACTCCGCCTGTAGAGGAACGTGCCCGACTTAACCTTAGGAGGTCCGCGCGGGTTTCTGGGGTCTGCGCTGGCCCCCCAGACATGCTTGCGTCGTTTAAAAACACGACGGGGCATTTTTTGGTCGCCTTGGGCCTCCGGGGGCCCTTGCTGGTCCTCGGACCCGCAACAAAAACTGCCAGAAAACTGGCCCTTGGGGAACGGATCGGGACTTCCGGGGACCGCGTACTGGCGAAAACAAGACGTCGCATGCCGCCCGGGAGGGCGCAGGCGTGGGAGGGGCAGAGGTGCGGCCGGACCTCGGACAGAAAAACATCGGCTACACACCAGATCCAGACATGATCGCGTCGTCACAGCATCGGGCCGGGAGGTTTTTGGCTGTTGTCGGCCCCGGGGGGCCCTCGCCGGGCCTCGGGGCCGCCAGCAAACGATTCAGGACGAGAAACCGGTCCTGGGGAAAGGGTCGGGACTTCCGGGGGACGCCGTCATGACAAAAATCAGGGCGTCACATGTCTGGGCACCAGGGTGACCCTGCGTAAGAGTGGCCTGTGGTGCGCGGCTTTTTGAGGGCCGCGGGAGAGGCCAAACACAAGCACGCAAGGCGCTACCATGGCATCGCGCTGGGCGATCGGGGGAGCCCAATGGGCCCGCGCCAAAGGTCACTCTGGCGAAAGGTCACTCGTACGTCTAATCGGGAACCTCCTTCAAGAACTTGAAACCCTCTGCTGGCCAGCACACCCCAAGCCATAGGATGACTCGAGGGTGCCTTCCCCCAGGATGCACAAGAACATCCGACAAGTACGAAGAACATCAGGGTACCCTCCCCGAGCCAACCTCGATCTTGTACCTCGGTCGGGCCGTATCGATACAGCTGAACATCTGATCAAGCAATCTATCATTTAAGAGAATTTAGCCAGCTTCCAAGAAGCTTCTTAAATTAAGCCTAAGCCAATTTCTGGCGTTCATGCTGGAAGGGGCGAACGTGCTCAAGAAACCGGGCAAGCTTTCTGGCAAGGTGGTCGCGAAACGCTGGCCCAATGGCAAGTTCGCGTCGCAATGACGTCGGCGTTGGTCTCACGGACCGTTCAACCTTGAACGATCGCTGCTTCCCTGTAGCAGATCATTCGCTATCGGCCGATTCTGGGCCACTGGCGGCATTCAACCTTGAACGCCTGCACTGGGGTCACCGCCGCGGCAACGCGGCGCGAACCTGCCGTACTTCTTTTTGTCCTCCTCTGGTGACCAGCTCGTGGCCGGCCTCCTCCACCTTCCGGGCGCGGACCTCGAGGGCTGGGGGCAGAACTTGGAGCCTGGTGGAAAGGGGTCCTCTGGTCCCTGGCGCTGGGCCTCGGAGCCATTGCGGTTGGCGCTGCGAAGACAGCGTGCCACATCGATCGCAGACAAGCTCGTGATCCCTGTGAGGCGCCTCCCCTGCGAGGGCCCCCTCTCTGCGCACGCTGTCCCCTTGCGATGGCCTCGTCGGTGCACGCTGTCCCCCTGCCGGGGTCTCGTCGGTGCACGCTGCCCCCAATGTGGGGGAGAGCACGGCATAGGCAGGCCGGCGGCGCCACAGCGCACGCTATCTGTGCAACGCCACCGCACTTCTCACCACCCGATTCTCGACGGTCCCGTGTCGGCAACTTGCACGCAAGAGTCGCCCAGGGCGCGAGTGACCTCTGGCGCGAGGCCTGCCGATCGTTGCGTGCCGTGCGGCATTGCGCAGCGGGTTGGCCTCACCCCCCCCCCCCCGCCCCCCCAGAGAGCCGCGCACCAGAGAGAGCTGACTCTGGCGAACTGCCACTCTTGCGTGCAGAGACCCCGGGCTGGGCGAGGGCTCCCCGAGGCCGAGGACGGCGATGAAGAAACCCTTTGAGGCCCGCCTGCTCGAAGACCCGCCCTGCTCATGGCGACTGGGGGACTGGGGAGGGCCCTTACATGATGTCGACGACGCTGGGGGCGTGCGTTCTTGCCTCCATCCCCCCGTTTGCATGATCGACGTTTGTTTTTGTTTGTTGTTGCCGTCTTTTGTGTGTCATGTATGTTACTCCTTCTTCTGCATCTGTGCATGTATGTATGTATGTATGTATGTATGTATGTATGTATGTACGTATGTATGCATGTATGTATGTATGTATGTATGTATGTAGGTATGTATGAGAGAACGCGTTTCGCGGGCGTTTGCCTTGGGAACATTCGGCGGCACGTTTCGAACCGGGGAGTGGCCCCCCCCCAACACTCGGCACCGTCGATCAAAACCAGGGGGGCTCCCCACCCCCCCAAACCCCCCGACTCCCCAACCCCCCCCCCCCACCTCCCAAGGGGGGGTGGGGGAGGTTTGAACCCCGACACCCCACCCCCCTGCGCCAGCGCCGGCCGCCGCCAGCAGCGCCGACGGCGGGGACGCAGCGACGATGACCAGAGGCAGCCCAAAGGGGCGGGGGGTTCAAACCCCCCACTCCCCCACCCCCTTGGTGCTGGCGCCAGCGCCGGCGCTGGCGGCGGCAGGGACGCAGCGACGATAACCACCACTACCACCACCACCACTACCACCACCTCAACCCACCGCCACCACCACCAACCCACCACACAACCACTACCACAGCCACCACCACCACCACAACCACCATCACCACAACTCACCATCACCACCACCACCACAAAAACCCACCCACTACCACCACCACCACAATTTACCACGCCACCACCATCACCGCCACAACCACCACCACTACCAGCAGCACAACCCACCACCACCACCACAAACCACCACACCAGCACCACCACCGCCACCACCACCGCCATCACCACAACTCACCAACACCACCACCACAAAAACCCACCACCACTACCACCACCACCACCACAATCTACCACACCACCACCACCACCGCCACAACCACCACCACTACCAGAAGCACAACCCACCACCACCACCACAAACCACCACCCCACCACCACCACCACCGCCACCACCACCACTACCAGCACCACAATCTACCACACCACCACCACCACCGCCACAAACACCACCACTACCAGCAGCACAATTCACCACCACCACCACCACCACAAACCATCATACCATCACCACCACCACCGCCACCACCACCACCAGCACCACATCCACAAACCACCGCCACAACCACCACCACTACCAGAAGCACAACCCACCACCACCACAACAGACCACCACCCACCGCCACCACCACCACCGCCACCAACCCACCACAATTCACAAACTACAAACCACACAACCCACCAGCAGCCCCCCCACCACACCACCACCACACCACCACCAAACCACCACCACCACAACCACCACAACCACCACCACCACCTCCACCACCACCACCACCACCACCACCACCACCACCACCAACAACCACCACCCACCACCACCGCAACCACCACCATCACAACAAACCACCACCACCACCACAAGCACCACCACCGCCACCGCCACCACCACAACAAGCCACCACCGCCACCACCATCGTCCTCGTCGACGCTCCCCGCCGCCGCCGCCAGCCGCCTGCCGACGCAGGCGCCGGCCCGAGAGGGGGGGGGGGGAAGGTTCGAACCCCCCCCCTCTCCGTCACGGGAGGGGCGGGGGGGGGTCGAACCCCCCCTCCATCCAGGAGGGGGGGAGGGGGGGCCGTTTCCCCCCCCCCCTCCAAGCGACCACAGAACGCGCTCTTTCGTATGTATGTATGCATGCATGCAGGCAGGTATATATGTATTTAGGTAGAAAGGCATTCATGCATGCATGTATGCCTGCATGCATGCATGCATGCATGCATGCATGTATGTATGTATGTATGTATGTATGTATGCATGTACATACGTATAGATGTGTAGGAAGATGTGAATGTTGTTCGCAGGTATGCATGCATGCATGCAAGTATGTATGTATGTATGTATGTATGCATGCATGCATGCATGCATGTATGTATGTATGGGTACGTATGTATGTCTGTCTGTATGTATGAATGTCTGTGTAGCCATGCATGTAGGTGTGCATTTCCACGCACATATATATATATATATATATATATATATATGTATATATATAAATATAGATAAACGCGTGATCTTACATTATTTTTTTCCGTTCTGGGGTTCTCGTTCGCGCCATTTTGGGTTCGGTTCCGTTATGTGCTGC